AAGGAAACCTAAAAACAGTACAGGCTTCAAGTTTAATAGTGAAAAACTTGGGGTGGGCAAGGCAGAAGATTGCAGTTGGCAATTGACAGGTTTTCAGAGACTGGCTTCCCAGGTAGGCTGGTATGAACCAGCTGATTTCTTTCTCCCATTCTTTCTTCTCCATTTGCTCACTGCCCAAATACACTATAGAAGTATATTCTATATACTTCTATATATAGTATATTTAGGGGCTGGGCTGCCCCTAAAACTTTATGGCATTCACAAGCAGAGCAAGCACAGCATCACCCTCGTACAACAGGAAGGAAGAGATATGGCAATCTCACCAGTGGGCTGGGGGCACTGCAGGAGCTGGGAAAAGCTCCTCAGGCTGTGCAGGGAGAAACACAGATAACTTGGCCCTTCCTCTCCATGCTGTAAACCCTCATCTGTGCAGCCTGTAGGTGTTACGGACTGACAAACCTCTGCCTTCCCCCAGCCCCTTCATCCCCAACCGCGTGGCCTTTGTTGGAAGCCCCAGGTCCCCTCCAGCAAGAGCTGGGGGAGGGTTGACTTTAAACTCCACTAAACAGTGGAGGCACAATGCAAACAAATGTATTGCAGCACGCAGCTATGCAAATAGCTTCAGAGCGCAGCACGTTTTCCCCAGCATTAATTGCTGCACCGCCGGGGTTGCGTAGCAACAGCTCCGCTTGTGCCTCTGACAGCTCCTGCCCCTTGATGCCTCTGACACCTTCTGTGGCAGGCAGGGAAGGGGAAGAGAACAGGGCTGCCCCAGGAAATCCAGAAGGGCTGGGAGGTAGTGAGTGATAGAATTCACTTGGGACACTGGGGTTGTCTTCTGCTGTCCCAAGGTAATGTGTGCAGTGGGGCTGGAAGGAGGGAGTTGAGGCACAGGAACAGAGGAGATCCAGCAGCTGCAGCCTTGGGAAGGCAGCATTCGAGGCTGGTGGGCAGAAAGGGCAGACCTGCCAAATCCCAGGCTCTGCAGGAAAGCTCACTGACAGGTGGGCTGTCTCTCCCATTGCAGTCAGTCCTTCTGGAGACCCCATACAGGTTTATGACTGCACCTACAGGCATAGAGGGACCCCAGATTGTCTCCCACTTGTGAATCTCCTTTTGGCTTGTGGCTTTTCCAGCCCTTGAGAGAGATGGCTCATTCCTCATGCACACCCAAACCTAGGAGAACCCTGGGCCAAGCCTTGTGGGAAGGGGTGAGTACAGGCACCAAGGAGAAGGCTGTAGGTGGGATGGGCAGCCCTGGGCTCCCTTGCTTGTCTTTCCAGTCCAGCAGCTTCTGTGGGGCTGGCCTGTATCTCCCAAAAAGCAGGACTATGCCTGCCTCTCTCTTCAGAGGCAGGACTGGCTGCCTCCTAAGAGTAATTTTTCCTCCTGTTCAAAACCATGTTCCCAGTTCCCATGCTCTGTGTTTACCAGTCAGTCTTCAGCTCCCATTGTGCTTTTGCCAGGCTGAGGAACATGTTTGCTCCCGGCATCTTGCCCTGGAAAGACACTTCAGCTCTGCAGTCACCTCACCTCTTCTCTATTCTGATAAGCCACATTAAAAAAATAGTTTCTCTGCAGCAGTTTGTACTGTCCATAAGCAACTCTGCTTAAAAATGTGGGGCACTTGATATAACTCTACTCTTACATGTGAGCAGAAACAAGCTCTTCTCCAAAACTGCCTTAAGTAGGGAGCATGTGGGCAATCCTGCATCCATCAGCTGCCTCAAAAGAGAATGCCCATGGGCATGTTTTACTTATTAGTGATAGCCAGAACAGACAGGAATAGTGGGAAATGCTGGATAGGTACCAAGGCACACAGATTAGCAGGTCCCAGGGAGCACAGAACTCTGTGTGTCTGGGAGATCTGGGGATGGAGAGGCACAGGCTGCAGCTCAGCACCCTTGGGACACAGGGACAGGAAGGACAGAGCTGGGACCTAGCCACCCTCAGAACCTTTTCACTGCAGGTGGCAGTGAAAACTCTGCCCAAAGGTTATCCTTAGACACCCAGAATAAGGTGATGCTGCCTGCAGTACCCAAACAGGGATGGACTGGAGAAGGAGCAGATGAGCTCAAGGTGAGAAGTTGCAGCCTGTCTTTGAGCTGAGGTGACATGACACCTGAATACAATGTGCCAGGTCAGCTGTGTCACTGAGTGCGAGATGGGTCTTCTAAGTAGAAAGGGCATCAAAACTTAATGGATTTATTTCCTTTATCAAGCAGGAAAAATATTTATCTGTTTTTTAAATTTATAGCTTGACAAGCTCTGTGTATCTGTGATTGTCTCCTTGGAGTACAGTAGGGCAAATGAGGTGACAATGAGCACAAAGGCCTCAGTCACACTTCAGAGGAAGAAACTAGGTGAAAGGCAAGGCAGAAATGCTGCTGGAACCTTCAGGATCAGGGAGCCAAGCCCCTCTGCCATACAAGCAGGACATGAGCCTTTCCCATCCCACACATCTCTGCAAAGCAGGCGTGACCTGCAGCTGGCTGTGCTCGGCATCACGGCTGCAAGGCAGGAAAGGACAGTGCCCAGCCATTCTGGTCCCTTCTCCCAGACCAGGGGCTCTCCACACAGGTTTGCAGCCTCCTCCTCCTCATCAGGCATCACCCAGTCTTTCCTTTCCTTTCTTGCCACCCACCCGGGCAATCGCTTTGCCGATGCCATGGATTCTTCCTTCGCAGCCATGGAGCGCAGCACCCGAAGGTGCCCCAGCAAGGAGTGATGTGGCTGTTTTGCCACCACAACCCCTTCCCACAGGCAGCATGGCAGTGGGGGGGCCAGGGCAGGACCCCACCTCTGCTGCTGTCGGTAGAAATTCAGTCTTCCCTGGGGAAGATGGCTGCTTCTCTTCCGAGCTGAGCTTGTGAGTAGGTAAGAGGAGTCACCGCCCTCTTTGCAAAGGTGGAAAAAAGATTACGCTGAGCTCTGCCTCTTCAAAAAGCCCCCTGCTTCAAGCCCAGGGGGTTGAAAGGTTTTTTTATCCCCTTTTGTTATTCAGCAGAGCGAGGGGAGGAGCTGGGCCGTGTAAGAGATCCTGGCTGACATAACCCTTCCCATACAGGGCTCTGGAGAGGGGCCAGGTTGTACCTGAGTATTTTTATTTAAACTAAGCCCAGGCGTTCCAAATTGAAAGCCATCGCAGCGCCAGGTAGGACCAGTTCAGACGATTGCTGGAGGGCGTTTTTCTCACCTGGGTGTAGTAAAGCAGTCTCCAGGTACGTTGTTTATTGCTAAGCCCGGGAGTATGTTCTGGAGGTGTTGGGACCCATTCGGCAAGCTGAGCTGGCTCAGCCTTTCCAGGTGGTTTCAGGAAAACCCTGCCTAAGAAGCCTTTAAGGAAACTGAAAGTCCCGGCTTGAGAGGCAAAGGCTCATTACGTGTAAAGCACGTTGTGCCTGGGCAAACAGGAAAGCAAGGCTGCTCAGGGCAGGCTTGGCTGCAGCCTGGCACTTCTGGGCAAAGAGAGACCTGGTCAGCCCAGAGCCTGAAGTGGCCCAGGTGTCTCTTCCTGCCCACCAGCCCTGGGAATCAGGGCACTGGAGGTGCCTCCCTGGTGCGTGTCAGTTCAAAGAAAGCAGCCAGCGAGCAGTAGGTAAGGAGCAGGTGAGGGCGGCCCAGGGTAGGCTCCGGTGTGCCTGATGCCACTGAGAGCGGCTGGCTCTGGCCACTGGCTTTCCCTTCTCCGTTTCTCTGCTGATGGCTCCTCCAAACTGGAGCTCTTCCTCCTCATTCACCTGTTGAGCCCTGTGCCTGGCAGCATGGAGAGGGAAAACCCACTCCAGATGAAGCTGCTTTTCTCCACCCTGTCCCTGAACTCTTTGATAAGCGTTGCCCCCCCTTGACCCAGCTGAGTGAGTGAGGTCTGTGTCTGATGCTGGTGGAGGGGGCAGGCAGAGAAAGGCTGTAGGGGGAGAAAGGACTTTCGTTCCTCCAGTACAAGGCCAGGAGGTGCAAAGTGCAAGTGTTGCTGCAAAGCAACCCTAGGTTACTGGAAAAGATCCTGTGTCAGGCAGTGTGGGTGCCAAGATGTGGGGCCCTCTCGGCGTGGTCAGGACTGGGTGGGAGTTGCCTGTGCTGCCGTTGGGAACAGATACCTTCTCGATAACAGCACCTGGCATGGCACTCATGATGCATTCATGCAAACAACTGGCTAATTATCCCCTAACCTCTCCACCAGTAAGTCCTAATTAATTGCCTCTGCCAAGCAGGTAACTGATAATGGCCTGGGTTTGAGCGCTAGCTGTGGCAGTGACCCTGTGCTGTAGAAGCCCACTTTTCTGCACAACCAGTGTGTGCTGACAGCCCATCAGCTGCAGCAACGCTTCATTAAGTGGCAGCTAATCAAAGGTCAGTGCCAATGGCAGGACACCGCACAGGGTGCATTGCTGCTTGCATGTCCTGCAGGCTGGGAGCTCACCAGGATTTCTGTGCTGACTACAGAAGAGGCTCAGAGCTGCTCAGTTTGGCCCCAGACCCATCTTCTGCTACTGAGGTGTAAGCAGAATTTTAAGACTTAAAGTTTAACTGAAGATCCCTGGCCTCTGGATGCCCAGCTGGGATGCTACTCTGCTCCCACCCAGCTTGGCAGTGCAGAGTGAGGGAGCAGAGGTATGCAGCCATCCTAGAAATGCTGGGCCTTCCACACCAGGTGCCATGCAGATACTAAGTCTGATTCTTTTTCGGTTTGCTTTGAACATGGTGACATGGTGCCTACACACTGGAATGTCCTAGGCAGAGATGTAATTATGAGTGCTCTGGCAGTGGCAGACAAACAAAAGTGCAGTCTGTGTCCTGCCAGCAGTGTGCACATGTAAGTGTGCATGCTGGGACTGAAGGAACACCTGCCAGCCCCAGAAAAACAGAATGCTTGATCTCACCTGGAGGTCAGGCAAGTGGTGTGCCTGACTGGGAGGAGAGGGGTTATTCTGGTTTTGCAGCATAAACTAATATTCCCTAGGACATATTACTGACTGCTTCTCTCTTTGTCTCTCTAGTGAGGATCCAGCAGAGACAATAGCAATAGACTCTAACAATCAGCCGAAGTCTCCACTGGAAAAATTTATGGTCAGACTGTGTACACATCACCAGAAGCAGTTCATTCGTGTGCTAAACGACATATACACTGAAGTACAACCAGACTCTGACGGCCAGCAGTTATCTGAATCTGAGAGCATGGAGGCCTCTACTTGTGGCTCTGGTTGTAGCCAGCGAAGCACTGAAAATCAGGATAAGGGTGCTACTTGTACTGAATCTAAGCTCCCTTCTACATTGGACCTAGGACAGTCAGGGGCTGATGGCCCCCTGCATGCTACGGGACAAGCCCTGAAGCAGCCAGTGGAACTGAAGTCTGTGGACAGAGCAGAGAACTCCAGTCCTGCTTTGAGGAGGGACTTCTGCGAGCTCCCCATCACCAGGCTTCGCTCTGCTAGTCCAAAGGATAGCCCCACCCAAGCATACCTCAGCACGTTGAACTCTTCCTCCTTGAATTTACATCATGCCACAAAGAGCCTGGAAGGGCAGCAAGCTGCTGGACATGAACAAGAAGCCGGTATCAGGAACTGTGAGGATAATAAAGAGCAGCTAGCAGGTAAGACTCTCATGGAAGGTTATATCTCAGTCAAAGTGGCAAATGTGAATGGCAGCGAGGACAGCTTAGACAGCTGTCTGGGGTCCCAAAAGAGCTCTTTTAGGGCTCTCCCAGAGGAGTCCTGGGATCCTGGCTTTGCAGTGACCCCCCCTCGCAGAGCCGACAAAGAGAACACTTTGCAATGCAGCTCAAAATCATCTTTGCACCAGGACTTAGATGCAAAAGAACAAGATGTGAGACCAAAGCAAGAAAACCACCTGCATGCCATGGCCAAGGGCAAGGCAGGCTGCCAGCTGCACCCACCCGACAAGGGCACGCTCGACAAGTCCAAAGAGGGCTGGCTGCCCACTGGCGCCGTGCCAGCCGCCCACCGGCCCCCCGGCGGGCACCCCCGCGCCAAGGCAGCCTCCCTCAGATCCTCTCGGAAGAGCAAGAAGGCATCGGGGCTGAGGATCAATGACTATGACAACCAGTGCGATGTGGTGTACATCAGCCAGCCCATCACCGAGTGCCATTTCGAGGCCCAGCGGCTGGTGTCCCGCAGGACGGCGAGGAAGAGCACCCGCGGCTATTACTTCAATGGGGAGTGCTGCGAGCTCCCCACCGTCCGCACGCTGGTTAAGGGCTCCCGGGCGGAGGAGAGGGCGAGCAGCCCGGCACTGCGAACAGAGACCCTCGTAAGTGCAAAGCCACCCCTGGTGCTCTCGGTGGAGGGGTCTGCAGGGGCAGGACGGGAGGGTGAGAAAAGGGTTTCCCTGAGGCTCCTGGCTAAAGTGGCACCAGCGAGCCGAGAAACGAAAGAGAGAGCTGAGCTGGGCTCCGTGCAGCTCCGGGATACCCGAGCACTACGGTCAAGGGAAGCTGCTGCGGCCATGCCATTCTTCTCCCTCTCTGCTCCACCCAGCCCCCAGAAAGAGGACAGCTTGGCCAGCTCACCGCCACCTGGCTCCCCTCCTGCTGAAGGAGGGGAGTCGCCTCCCCTCAGTGCCACAGTGGGAGGCACTGTCACCTGGGAGGCTGGCAGTAGCCTGGGCTCCTCTGGGGATGGCAGCAGCAGCAGGCAGGCTGCTGATATTGTTGCCTCTTCAGTCTCAAAAGCACACGGTGAGGAGGAAGGTTGTCCAGGCTCTGACATACAAACTATTCCAGACCTCCCTGCCAGTCCAGAGCCAAAGTCCTCCTCACAGCCCTCTGCTGCTACAGACACAACACCTCTGCCCTGTGATCCTGCCCAGCTTCCAGGTTCAGGGGATGCTGAGCTCTGTGGGCAGTGTCTGGCAGAGCCTTCCACATGCTCTCCATGCTCGCAGACTCCTGATGAGCCCCCTGCCACCACGGATGGGAAGAGCCCCCTGGGGCCCCCTGCCACTTTGCAGTGTGGGGATGTGAACAAAAGCATAGATGCTCAACCAGAAGCCGAATCATCGGTCATGGGTGACAGCCCTCTTGAGCAAGAGGATGCTGTGCTCATCAGCACACCCCTCCCCAAAATCTTGGAAGTAGAGGCAATGCAGAATAACAGCTCAGCTGGTGAAAAAGAGCCCACTGAAGGGGAAATGCCACCCGACCCAAACAGTTCAGACTCTGTCTCTTCCAAAGACAGTCTAGACAAGAAGCGGAAGAAAGGCAGGAGAGCACTAGTGGCATCGGACCGGTGTCTCCGAAGCCAACGATCCCCATCACCTGCTGAGGGCAGTGCTGAGGACTCTGGTTCTTCCAGCTCTGGGCAGCTTACTTGCCTTCAGATCAAACTCTCCAAGAGCCCTGGTGCTAAGCGGTTCAAGAGAGAAGTGCAGCTGGATGAGGCAGCATCCATGCACTTCCCCGATGACTGCTTCCCCAATGTGCTGCTCAAAACCAGCGAAGAGCCAGGCATTGGCCAGGCTCCAGAGAGCATCACTGGGCAGCAGCCAGGCGAGGAGAATGGTGTCACTACCAGACAAACCTATAAAAGCATCTTAGCAAAAGAGACTGCTGCAGAGGGAGAAAATTCCTCTAAAGATGACTCCTCTACTGACAGCAGCCAAAGTCAACAGTGTGAGATGCTGGAAATCAGCGTCCAGGCTGATTCTGAGAAGAAAAATATTACCCTCCCTCCAGAGAACAGTGTTCCTGCAAATGATGCTGAGCAAGTGGATGTGAAACCAGTCAATGCTAGTGCAAAGGACAAAGAGAGCTCTGACAGTGTCAGGGATCTGGGCAAGCCAGTGAACTATGAGCTGGTGACCAATTTGCCTCTGTGTCCCAGCAGCAGAGGTGGAAGCAAGCATCTTCCAGCAAAAACTGCAAAGCATAAAAAGGTTGCTCTGCAGTTTTATAACTTACGACATGCACCCTCACCTGTAGACAGTGCAAAAAAGAACACACCAGGGAAGGAGTCTATGCAAGCAATCCCCAAACTGAGGGATGAACACAGTTCAGGGAATGATGACTGCCCAACACTAGAGGATATAGACATGGCTGACAGCAAACCAAAGTTCATGGAGTGGTGTGCTGAAGAGGAAAACCAGGAGCTCATTGCCGAGTTCAATACTCAATACATGAAAATCCAGAAGGGCTGGATTCAGCTGGAGAAGGAGGTCCAGCCAACCCCCAAGGTAAAGAACAGAGCCGACAAACTGAAAGAGATTTGGAAAAGCAAGAAAAGAACACGGAAAAGCAGAGGCTCACTGGAAGTGCAGAAGCTTTCTCCTGTGCAGATGCTGTTTATGAAGGCCTTTAAGCTGTCTGACATATGCCAGTGGTTTCTGGAAACAACTGAAACCAGGTCTCTAGTGATTGTGAAGAAACTCAACACCCGTCTCCCAGGGGAGATTCCCCCCATGAAAGTCCCCATGCAGAAATATTCTTCCTCTAGTCTCTACCCCAGCTCACTACAAGCTGAACGTTTGAAAAAACATCTCAAGAAGTTCGCTGCCACTACCCCAGCTCGGAATAACCTGAAGAACCAAAAGCTTTGGGCCAAAATTCGTGAGAATGCTGATAAAGCAGAGGTTGAAGAAGCCACCACTCCCAGCCAGACGTCTCCCACTGCTGCCAGCACCAAGGAGCTGAGTGAGGACAAAACCATCCAGCCTGCCCTCAGCCTGCCCACGCAGGCCAGCACCAGGATCCTGCGCAAGTACTCCAATCTTCGGGGCAAGCTGCGAGCCCAGCAGCGCGTGGTGAAGGCAGAGAAGCGGAGTGATGGCCCAGGGGACCATCTGTCCCTGGAGAGCAAGCAGAGCCGGAAGAGTGTGTGCATCAACCCCCTGATGTCTCCAAAGCTGGCCTTGCAGATCAAAGCAGCTGCCTTTCCTGCTAAATCTCCCTCAGTGGATGGAACGGGGAAGGGGCGGAAGGGGAAAAGCAGGTCCCAAGAGGACCCCTTGCCCAAAGTCGACCTCCAGCTCAGCAAGAAGAAGAAGATGCTGAAGGAGAGCGGGAGCACCCAAGAGCGATCCAGCTCTTCCACCAAGGACAAGCTGCCTGCCAAGAAGGCTGGTAAAATAAAGCATTCAGAGGTCAGCGTGAAATCTCCCGCCACCCGAAAGCAGACTGCCATGGAGAGGAGCAATAAACTGGCCAGAAAAATGTCTCTGAAAGAGAAGAGAGTCCCGAAAAAGCAGCTGGAGAAGATGCGGCTCCCCATGCGGAAGGGCAAGGAGAACACGAGCAGACGGGCCGTGCTGCCTCCCAGTCACGAGGAGCTCTCCAAGTCCCCAAAACAGAAGCCACTGGGGGAGTCCTCCACACGGTCACAGAAGATGGCCAACAAGAAGCACAGCAGTGGGAAGACCTTGACAAGGTCCATGAAGAAGATGCAGGAGAACAGTGTGTCTCAGGGCAAGAGGAAGCTAAGGGCAAAAGTGGACTGTTCGCACAGCAAACGCTCACGACTGGACCCGAAATAGCAAAGAACCGGTAGCCATGTACAAAACTGATGTATAGTAGTAACCCTTTACCATGCATTAACTAAAGCTGCTTTTATAAGCTGTAGCAAGCCTTTAAAAATCCTCAGTTAAAGGATAAATGCCCATGATTTTAGGCATCAGCAGATGTGTCTTGGACAGAGAAGAGGTAGGTCTGTCTGGCTCTGCTGTTCAGAAGGAAGTTTCTGCAGTTTGAACGTTCCTTGGGTTCTTTTAAACTTAGAACCAGGCAGTTTTTGTTAAAAGTACAGTGCCTTATTTATCACTTTAAAAATAAAAAGAAGCTCGTCTGTGTGATTTGGAGGCTTGCGTTTTATACTTGAGGCACAAGCACTTGTACTGTAGCAGAAAGAAAACCACCTTCGTGCACATGAAGTAGCTTTTGTCAGCCTTTGGGTGCACACAAACATTTCCCTTTCTTTCAGTCCTCCTTCTGTCTGTCTTCTTAGTGGCATTTAAAGGAAAACCAAAACCATTTTGCATCGCTAAGGGAGAGAAAGGCGAGTCTGTCCATTGTCGGTTCGCTGGTAGCAGTTGCTGGTGTCTCAGGCTGTTACCTGCATGAGAATGTGAAGTAGCCACTGGTGTGTGTACTGCTGATGGCTGCCTGCTCCTCAGTGCACAGCCCGTGGCTGGGGAGGGCCCGCTCAGGATGAGGAGATGCCCTGGGGGCGCCGGGTACCAGGCTGCCACACCCACTGCTGCCAGCTGGGCGTGCTGGGCTGTGTCTGTCTTTTTTCTTGCTGGCTTCAGGGATGAACCGGTCTTGCCATGCTCTGCTTTTGGACAGACTTCCTTCTCCTATTTCCTTGTCCTTGTGGTGATTTCTGTGGTCTCTGATGGCAAAGCTTTTCTGCAATGCTTCGCTGAAGGTTGAATCTTTCCCTTTTTAAGGGCTTGAGTTCCTGATGTTGGTGCTCTGCAGGAAGGGAATCTGGCCCTCACCTTGTGCTTTTGTGCACATCTTGCCTAGTGCTCTCTGAAGCCAGGATTTGCAGTTGAAATAAGGTTGGGATAAGGGATTGGCTTGTGTTAATTTTTTACCATAATTTGCATTTCAGCCTTTTACCAGCAAGGTGCAGGAGGTTTGTCCTTGCTTGTGCCACAGAACAGGGTCATAGTGCCTGTGTTTTCTTAGAAAAACCTGTTAGAAGTGCACAGAGTGCGCGGCTGTGCTGGTTCTGCTGGGCAGAGATGACCAGCAGCTGGGGAGGGCTGTGGTCTGTGCCAGGGTAAGGTCCCTGTTCAACCATTGCATCCCCATGGCTTCACTTTCCCATTGCAGAGTCCGCTTGCAGGAATCCCAATGCCAGTCTCCTTCCAGACATAAAACAGCAGTGCCTGTCAGGGCACTGTGTGGACCCTGAGGCTGCCAGACCTTTAACAGCTGCCTTGTTGGTCCTTGCTCAGCTGCTTGTCCCTGATGAGAGCAAGGCTCTGATGCAGCCCATGAATTCAAGAGATGCTGGCCCTTGGAGCAGATGCTGGAAAAGGATTGGCTGCAAAGGGAACTGCTTTTCATAGTTGGCATTGAACCCCAGATCTCAAAGCCTGGGGGCGGGAGGTGAAAGGCAGATAATTGTGTTAAAATCTTTCATTGTACTCCTTTAGTACAGAGGATGAAACCAGGTGTTTGATTTGCACTCCCTTCACAGAACACCTCTGGCTCTCTTGGAGGTACTCCCTTTCCCAAGCATTGACACTCACAATGCTGCGGCACATTTTTCTCTTACTGTGAAATGGCTGATTAAAAAAAAAAATCCTTTGCCTTTCCTTTGAATTGTGCTAGAGTAAGTTAACTCTCTGAACAGGTAGGAAGTGATTAAATCTAGCCTGTCAGTCCCTGTACAGATTAATATGAAGTTATCTATTACTTTAATTTTTACTGCATGCATTAAATATGTCAAACATTCCATCAGAAAAGATTTAAAAGCGTTTCAAGAGAGGTGTAAGGCAGGAGGGCACTGATGGCAGTTAAGTGACTGATCTGTACCTCTTTTGCAGGGTGTCTTTCCCTCTTGCTTCTCCATCCTTACTTATGGTCCTTCTCTGGTCTCTGGCTGGGGCCCAGCCACATGGGCCCAGATTTCCTCTCCTTCCTCGGGCCAGGTGTAGGTGTGAGCACACCTCTTACCTTTGCTGCTCGTGCCATTCCCCTGCAGCAAATCCCCTCTCCCCGTCCTTCACCTTCACTCCTGAAGCGCCTGCACTGGTCACCAAGCACCTCCTTGAGGCTTTCCCTCTCTCTTCTCTCATTTTTTAGCTGCTGATAAATGGTAAATGCAGGCCTGCCTTCTGTGCTTTGGGAGCAGGAATCTCATTAGGAAAAAAAACCTATACAAAGCAAGTGGAAAGAGTCTTTCTAGATGGGGTGCTGCTGTTCCAGTGTCCTGGATGCCTTTGTGCACCCTGGGGCTTCACCAGCACAGATTGGCTGGAGCATGGCAAGATTGGGGGACAGCAGGTGTCATTGGTGCTGGAGTGGAGCAGCTTCTGGGCATCTGTCCCAGCTCAGTGTGCACTGCTTGGCTTAGGCAGTGGTGGGATCAGAACGCTGAGCTTCCCGGCAGTGTCCCTGACAGGCAGTGGTGACGTGTGCTGCTGAGGCACAGCCCCTGCTTCAGAGCAGTCTGTTACCAATAAATGTGGCTCTTACATCAAGCAAGGGATGCACAGGGAGCTGCAGATGAGCTTAATGAATGGAAGAAAATAAGCAGCATGATTTAGTACCTTATTCCACATGGACATGGAGTGTGTTTCCGTGTGCTACAGGCACAGAGTTGCCCACTGGCACTACCACAGTGCCATCCTCAGATCCACAGCCTCATTGCGCTCCTGTTCCCCTGGGCTACCCCACAGCTCCCTGCTCTACTTCTTCAGCTCTGGATTTCAAGTGCTACAACCCACAAAGCAGATCTCTTTCTGTTACTTTGGCTTTTCTTGCTGGCCACTTTCTCATCTTATTGAAACTAGTCTCCATCATGCACCCTGGTCCATGAACGAGGAGCAGCATCCTCTTAGCTCTGCACCTCCACAGATGTCCTCACTGTCCCTCTACTGCCAGCCCCCCCTCTCATTTTTCTCTCTCTGTTGTCATCAGCAGCTCTGGGTCTTCACGCTTCACATTTTCAGAATCCGTCCATCTTAATTAACCACTGGGAGGAGCTGCGTTTGCCGAGCTCAGAGTCAAAACTTATGTTGGTTCTGTAGCAAGAGCATTGGAGCCCAGGATGGCTCCTCCTACCCGTAGCTGTTAGTATCTTGTTAAGCAAGGCCAGCCCTGGAATGGGTTTCCCTGCTGACAGGGTGTGTGGTATGTACCCAAGGTGTGCACATATTTATATTCATCACTTACTCATCCCTGGCAAGGTCCTGTTTGCCACTGTTCACTCTGTGCAGTGGGGTTTCTGTAGTCACTTGCCAGCCAGTCAGGGAGGCAGATTTGCAGCAAAACTTCTCTGAAGAGCTGACCAGTCGGTGCTGATGTTTCTGACAGACTTTCTGCTGCATTGCTCATCAAGGTCCATGAGCTGTGAGAGCAGGATGAAATTGTTCCTGCTGCTCTCTTCACCCCTGTCCCTTCAGTGCTGGGGTGCCATGCAGGGCTGGACTGAGCGGGCTGGCTGTGTGCCCACACCACTTTTTGCTGGTGTGCAGATGAGCAAAGCTGCAGCCCAGCCCATGTCCCAGCTGGTCTTGTGGCCCCTCTGGAAATGCTGATGTTTCCAAAAGCTCTGCCAGCTCCTGGTAACCTCCCAGGAAATGGACATGCAATCAGTTATACTGGTGCCCTGTTTTTAAGATTTGCTGATGCACACTTTTTCTCTCCAGCTCATAAACTTTCAGCCTAACAAGTGCATTCCCAGTTGAAGGTGACTGAGAAAGCTGTGATTCCCAACCTTCCATGGGTACAGGTAGTGCCTGGGGCAGCATGGAGGTGTGGGTGACCAGGTTGGGCTCTCACCTTTCCACCATCAGCAGTCATGCCGGGGGAAGAGGGCTGAGCCCCAGCCAAGGTGTACTTGGGTCTGCATCCTTGGGCTGTATGCCTGGACAGCCAAGGAGCAAGACAGGGATAGGCTCCTCCTTGACAGGGAATGCCACTGGAGATTTTCTTGTAGCAGTAGGTTTTTTGAGCAAACCACAAGGCTATGATGTCCCCATGTCACGTGTGTTCCCCCTCCCCACCCCGTGTGTTGTAGCATCCATTTGGCCCATCCTTCAGCTTGGTGGTTGTGAAATGAATCCATCTGTTCTAAGATGTTCTCAGGAGTTCTTGTTTGTATTAAGCTCACCCTTAGGCTTAGCAGAAATCACAGTCCCCATCCTCCCTGCTCCCCTCCCCGCAGACAAGCCCTCTCTCTCACGAGCACTTCCACCTTCTCCCCGAAGGGCAGCAGAGGGCGGCTGGCGGTTTTGATTCAGGGCACGTTGGCAGCTTTGGGGCAGCCGAAGGAGCTGGGATGCAGCCGGCCAGCATTTGTGACATGGGTCTGGAGGCCAGGCGGTCCCACGGGCTGTATTGCTAGCCAATGTTTTCTAAGTCTGTTTGTAAGAGTACCTAATTTTAAAATGAAATGTGAATATATATTATGTGTAGGTGCCATGTAAGATAGTGTTGTGCTAGGCAGCAGGATGCTAACCTACTTTTTAAGCTTTTTGGGGCAGGAAAAAGCATTTTTCTCTCACTTCATGCTCACAGATCTAATATTGTAAATAGGTTTTTTAAATATTTATTTCATGGGCTTTCCACAGGTTCTCGTTGACTGGTGTGTCGGTGGGTGGGGCTGTATTGCCCAGCGTGCCGCAACCAAAGGGCTGGCGATGCGTGCGGGGATGGGATGGGATGGGATGGGATGGGGCAGGGTGGGGGGTGGTGATGGTGGTGTTCAGTTTGGATTTTTTGTCACGTCAGAGCTGAAGCATTAACTCTCTTCATCTCGTTTTGATGATGTCAGGCCTGGTTGATGGCCACGGTCCCCAGGGAGGCTGTGAGCTCCCATGGCCGGCCAGGATGGCTGTTCCCCAGGACAGGGGGCACTGCAAGCAATAAGATTTGTAGTAATAATGTCTGCTGTGATGGCAGGGGCTCTCGGGGCTCAGGGCCAGGTGGGAATAACCCTGCTCCCGCTCAGTCTAGCGTGGCTTGGGGGGGTCTCTTGACCTGGAGGTACTCAAGGAGGTGTCCCCAGGGATGCAGAAAGTGGGGGATGCTGTCACCCCCAAGGAACCCCCCAAAACCACCGGGGCAGGGTAGGTAGTTGCTGGTAGCACACTCCCACTAGTGAATTATTGCCTTTGTGGGTACGGGTGACCCAAGGGAGCTCACCGCTGTCGCTGCTAGTCCTAGGGCTGGCTCCAGAAGGTCATTTGCTCATTTGCTAATCATTCTGTAATTTTAATTCTCCTTCTAGGAGCTTTGAGGTCATTTGGTAATTTTTGCTTAAGTGGGTTTAGGTTTTTTTTTCTTTGTTAACCCCCTTTTGCCTGGAAGTGTGGCTGGCTCTGACCTTCCAGTCCAGCTGTCTGTGTGGGGCAGTATCAGCAGGATCTGCTTTTATGATGATGGGTCTCTGACTTTGGAGGATGGAGTGAGGGGTGCTGCTGGGTTCCAGCCCTGCAGGACCCTTCACCAGTCCCACACTTCCTTCACCCTTGGAACAGGTGTGTAAAAAAAGACAAACAAAAAAAAAAAAGGAAAAAAGGAAACACACAGTAATTTTTTTTCTTAGGATGTAAAACATTTGAATATTTGAATATCTCCACCCTGATGGTAAATGTTTTTCCTTCATCTGTGTCTGCTTCCCTGGGAGAGTTTTGTTTCTCTGTTTGTTTCTATATGAATTTTAGACACTGAGCTGAAATTCCTCCTGTCCGGTACTGTATGTTTGAGCCCAAGCAATGTGAACTGTACAGACCAGCAGTGGGAAGGAGGAGCTGGTGACTGCACCTGGGAGAGCCGTGGCTTGGGATGGCATTCCCAGTTGGTGTAGGGAGTGGGAAGTACTGCGCCACAAGTTGGGAAAATGAACTGTCTGCTGTGAATTCTCGGTTGGAAATGTGGAGAGGAGTTTCCATTAGATAATGTTTACATACCTCACCTGACAAACCTTTGAAAGTGTATATATAAAAAAAAGAAAGAAAATAAAATTATATTAAGTTGCTTTAAATCAATATGTATAGCTATAAGAGCTGGGTCATTTGAACTTTGAATATGTATCGATTCTCTAAATGTTGACATTTTGTGAACTCTGTGCTCCTGTCTTTTATTTCATCCTAGCCTATGAAAAAAGTTGTGTTCTTGTTCCAGGTAAAAGGTCCCTGACTCAGATCTGAACTCCTCAAGGATTCCCACCACCTTGTTTTCTTTTCTTCCTCACTGTCAGTATTCACCCTATGAGCTTTCTAAAGGTCCGTATTTTATTGCAGCTTATTAAACGTTTCTTTGATATCAATGTTTGTTTGATAAGTGTGATAAGTGGGGAAGACTGAAGGTGAGTGAGTGCACGAGGTAGAGCACCGCAGGCTGGCACCCTCCAACTGCCCCCCCTCCCTATGGAGCAGGATATAAATGCCTGTGTGTGGTTTCAGTGCTCCCATACCAGTGCCTGAGCTGTGGCAGACTTATGTTTGTGGCACCAACAGTGCAACCTCTTGGTGGTCCTGGGGACTGCTGCCCACGCCCCCTCTACCCTTCCCCAGAGAGCTACAAGTGCCCCGTTTCCCCTGGAGCCATTCCATCCCCACAGCAGGCACTGGCCCTTCAGCTTCCCACGTGCAAGACCCTGGCAGTGATGGCAGCTTTTGCAAGGCATTGCATGGAAAACCCCGGCTGCTTGTCCCTGCACCATGGGGGCAATGCATTGGCCAGGGCTGCTCCAGGAGTAGGAAATCATCCCCCAAGGCACAACCAACTCTTTCCATCCTGTGCCACCTCCTCACGCTCTCAGCAGCTCCCAAGCACCAGCTTCTCCCTTCTCCCCAGCAGGAAAGAAGAGGCCAAGCCTCTGAATGAATAAATGTCATGTTCACATGGAAGACAACATAGACAATACCAAACACCTCCTAAAACAATACAGCCTCTGCCAGCGGAAGGATGCCCAGCGCCTCCCTCGCCAGCCTAGTACAAACCAGCGTCTTCAATAGTGACACACACAAACCCCACGGGCCAAACAAAGCCACTGTCATTTTCCTGCCCAGTAGCATCTGTAAACAAAAAGAAAACATCATTTGTTGACCCCAAACATATAAAAATACTATAACAAAATGAAATACAAATATATATTAGAATCTGTAAGTATTCTGTATAAAGAGATACTTTAGCGGTTAGCGTACAGCAAGAACAGAAACACAACACAACCAAGCCCCGGGTGGGCCACAGGCAAAATGAGACGCATCCCAGCTCCTCTGTGTGGCAGAGGAGCTCCCATGGAGAGGGCATTTGTGGCAGAAACACATCCCCGTGGTGGTGGAGACGCCCTGGATGCCAGTGGTGAGCAGGGATGGGGACAGCACCTGCAGAGCTGGGTGTATCCAGTGGAGGTGCCTGGAGCCCGGCCACAGCTGGCAGTGCAGACCTGAAACCAAAGTGCTGGAGCGGTGTGATGGAGAGACCCAGGACTGCAGCTCTGGGATGAGTCTGTCCACCAGGGTGATGTGGTGTTCCACTGTCCAGCCATGTGCAGTGTCCCAGGCTGGGCCCCCGCTGTGCTTGGCCCCCACAGTCGCAGAGGTGATGCTGCTCTGGATGTTGGGTGCGTGCAGTACCCTGGCAGGAGTGCCCGTGTGCCCCTGCTCCCACACCAGCCAGCACATGCCCTGGCACTGTGGGCTTTGGAGGGATGCTGGGTGTGGGCACTTGAGTCCAAGAGCTGATGAGTCCTTCCCTGGCAGTGGTGTTGGCTCCAGGCTTTCAGGTTTGGACATCTTCACCCTCTTCAACTTGGCACACACAAGACTGAGGCCCCAGTGACAGGCATGGCAAACCCGCATCCCAGCTCCAGCAGCCTCTTGCTCCTGCTGGCTGGGTCACTGGGACACAGGGGCACCTTCGCCCATGACAGAGCCTGGAAAAAGGGATTCCTGTGCTGCCCTCACACAGCTCCCATCTCTGAGCAGAGACACCTGGCTGAGCCAGAGGTATCTGGGGCCCTCTCCACATGAATGACATAGTGCTGGCCCCATGGCAGAGGGCAGGTTGGCACTGGAACCCTCAGGGACATCTGTGCTGCTGTCACAGGGACTGCTGCCTGTCCCCCATTCAGTGTGCCTGGCACTGCCCTGGTCCTGCTCCACCAGTGTGGCCCTGATGTGACCACAGTGGGCTGGACCCGAGGGTGCCCATGCACTGCAGAGCCCAGCCAGCATGCACACACTGGGGGTGTCACCAGAGGGTCAGGCTGGAGCCACAGAGCTGGGGACATTATGTGGGGTACTTAGGGCTACAGCACCCTGCAGGGAGAGAGACCAGGGCTGCTGAAGGAGAGACCGGGAAACCAGGTCTGGGCTCACCAGGACTGCAGGACACTGGCTACACCACGCAGCCCACTGTAAGCCATGGCTTGCCATAGATTACAAGGCTCTGCCATGGCAGGCCTCCCTCCTCCTGCTGCACATGTTGGAAAGGCCCTCAGATCGCTGGGCTGATGCAAGGGACAGGGGTGCCAGAGACGGGACTCACCCAGGATGCAGGCACTGCCCTCCATGGCTGTCGGGCTTCACTGGCAGGAAGGCAGAATGCCACAGGGAGAGGACAGGGCAACTGGGCAGGGTGCCCATACCATATCCACATATCTGTGTAGCTGCAGTTCTTAAAAAAATTCTCTATCTACACATTTGCTTTGTTTGTGGGGTTTTTTTCTTTTTTTTTTTCTTTCTATTTTTTTTCTGTTTCCTTCCCAATCTTCTAGATGCACCAGCTCTACCCTCTGCCGGGCTCCTCAGATGCAGCTGCAGTTCGGAACACACAGAGAGCAGCACCATGCCCACAGTGTAAAGTGAGGTCCTTGGCATGGGGGGTCTCCCCGCCAGCCCCCTGGCTCTGCAGGGCCGTGGCTGCTCACAGGCACTGGCTGCAGCCACACTTGCTGGGCTTCTCCACCTCCTCCACAAAGGTCGCACCATTGCTGCATTCAAAGGCGTATTTCCTGCGCCGCAGCCGCAGCCCGGTGCAGCAGCTGGCGTCAGGGCCGCCGCAGGTCCCCCGGCATTCCACCCAGGCCACCGGCCGCGTCGTCTGGCAGATGGCATAGCCCCGCTGCACCTGGTGGTAGTCCCGCACTGGCTCCCCGCGGCACTCCGGCTCTGTGGGACAGCAATGGTCAGCCTGGTGTGGGGGCAAGGGGCTGCCTTCCCTGGACACCCACCTCCTCAGCACCTACCCTGGTCACAGAGGGCTCCGGTGTAGCCATCGTGGCACTCGCAGGCGGGCTGGCCACCTGGGGTGAGGTGGCAGTGGCCATGGACACAGGGCTGGTGGCGGCAGGGGTCGGGTGGTTCGGCAGGCTGGTTGCAGAGCGCGCCCTGGTAGCCCTCATGGCACTGGCAGCTGTAGGAGAGGGCATCAAGAGGCAGGCACAGCCCGTGCACACACCTGCGGGCAAACAGCGCTGTCAGGACCTGCTGGTGTGGCACCAGCATGCACAGCCCACCAGCACCGAGCATGGCTCTGCACCAGCACTGTACTGCAACTGGTACAGTACAGCCATCATGGAATGGCACAGGTGTGGCTCTGGCATGGCACCAGCACAGAACAGCCTGGCACAACTCAGTGCTAGTGGCACAGCAGGGCAGCGGCACAACACGGCACCACTGTGATGGCACGGGACTGACACGACAGCACCAGGAACCAGCCAGAGGGCAGGGTGGGAGCCAGTGGGGTAAGGGCACTCACTTGTGCCCCTGGCAGGGACCGCCGCGGGGCTGGTCGCAGTGGGGCCCGTCCCAGCCAGGCTCGCAGTGGCACACGGGGCCCTGGGCGCCCGCGGGCTGGCAGATGCCGTGCAGGCAGTAGAGCTTGCGGCAGGGCTCGCAGCCCGGCACCACCCCGGGCGTCATCCGCGTCTTGGTGAAGTCCTGCAGCTCATTGTTGATGTAGAGGTTGCGGATGCATCCGTGGAAGCTGGTGCCATTGAGGAGCTGCCAGAGGCGGAAGGCAGCCGAGTTGACATCCACAGGCATTCCTGGGGAGAGCAGGACCATCAGCACACCCGGATACCACCCATGCCCTCCATCTCCCAGTCCCTGTCCTACCTCCTACGTAGAGGGGAGCCTCACTATTCAGCGTGTAGTGCTTGCCCGAGTTGTCCATGGTCATGGGGCTGCCACCATCGATGGACAGGTTCACCATCTGGTCGAAGGTCACCAGCTCCACGGTGTGGAACTGCCCGTCGTTGATGGTCTCAGCACTGGCAGGGATGGCTGGGTCACCGAGGATGCCCCCAGGCCGAAGCAATGGGGGTGGAGGTCCCCAGTGAGTGGAGAAGGGGTGCCAGGTACCTGTAGATGGCCGAGCTGGGATGGGTGCCAGGGTCATAGCTGACCCTCACATGGCCCTGGTACAGCTCCACAGCCATGTGGTCGCTGTCACCATTGTACAACAGGATGCCATTGCCTTCAGCCGTGGAGACCTGCCAGAGAGAGAGGTGGGAGCCCACATCCCTGGGGCAGACCCCCAGTGCCATCCCTCAATGCCCCCACGCCCCCCTAGCCCTCACCTGAAGGGTGATATTGGCCCGGGGCCAGTCTTGCAGGTCAGTGAACTGCAGGTATGTGTCACGGTCCACAAAGTTGACGCTCAGCAGCTTCTCACATTTGGGGCCACCAAAGCCAGGCAGGCACTGGCACAGGGCACGGGCACCCCGCTCCACACACGGGGCCCCGTTCTGGCATTCAGCTCGCTCACAGAGGCCAGGCTGGCCAGCAGTGTGGGGCGGCATCTCGCAGAGCTGGCCACTGTGGGGCCAAGGGTGCTGCTGGGCTGGGGGCTGGGAAAGAGCCCTACACCCTGCCCAATGCCCCACAGGGCTCTGACAGCACGCCCCTGGTTTGGGGTCCCTGGGAAGGCTCTCCCAGACACTGGCATCAGAGGGATGCCTGGATGCTGGGCTGTGCCTTGGGGTCCCTCCTCAATGATGCGGGCTCCCCCCAGCCTCCACCCCCAGAGTCACACATTCCCAGTCTCACTCCCTCTCACACTGAGGATGGATGGATGGATGGATGGATGGATGGATGGATGGATGGATGGATGGATGGGTGGGCTTGGTAGCCAGGACTTGTCCCTTCTGCACAGTGACACGTAACCATCCCCACTAGCCCAGGTGTCCCATGTCTTCCTGGTGGTACCTGTAGCCCTCGGTGCAGAGGCAGGAGTAGCCATTCACCTCATCCAGGCAGCGGGCGTTGTTCTGGCACCGGTGGTCCTGGCAGTCGTCGAAGTCCTCGCTG